GGATCTTTCCAGCTCCGTGCGATGCGACGCGCACGCAATAGGGGGCACGGCGATCAGACACCAGATCATCTGAACTGAGCAGCTGTCCATCTGATGCACAAGCCACTAGGAGCTCTCGGTGCATGATCTCCAAATAATCTTCAGCATACCTGCTCCACAAATTAGGAATCGGACCACTGAAACAAAGACGGTGTGGTCCTGCTCGCCTTGCAATTCGCAAACCGAAAAAGAGTAAGACAACATCAGGCAACTGGTACTGCTAATGGACCACAGGAAGGGCGCAAGCATCCATCTTCAAAGACGGCGAGAGCAAAACCACGCGACATCCTGGGCATCTGGCGACCACACCCGAATTCCTGTTGCAACTATATAGAAGCTGGCGCTCGAAAGTGTCAGAGTCCTCTAGAATCGCGCACCTTATCTGGTTTCTCTCTTGTTTGTTTGCTTGCTTGCTTGCTTGCTTGCTTGGGGCCCTAAGCCTACGCGTCCCCTCCGTAAACAGGTTCCCCCACGCATCCGCACAGCCGGTCCGCTGTCTTCATGCGGCGAAAGAAGAAACTATGAAGCGAAGAAAGTTAACATTGAACGCTTCTCGCTCTCCTTCTGGACTTCCCTGCCCTCCGGCAGTCTGATTCTGCCTTGTCCCAATGCAGTCGTATGGTGTTGACTTAGCTTCGTTAGGTGTGCCACTTGTAGCGTCACAAAAAATCGCAGTGTGGCAATACTGTATGGCTTTCCCACCGGCCTATGGGTCTCATATGTTCTAGTTCTAGTGCACATGATCTGCTGCAATCCAGGCCGAGACCTGCCAAATGAGTTCTGCCATTCGGAGAGTTGATTTGGTATTGCCCTCTACCATATCCTCGCGCGGCAAAAAGTCCTTGCCAAGCCGCATGCAGGCGATGTTCCTCTTGAAGCCTTTGGTCCAACCCTCTCGCCGCACCTGTAACAGGGAGTCTCCGGCTCTCCGGCTCCAACCGCACGCAGCTGAAAATGCCCACTACCACTGTGTTGTCCTCGGTGCGATGAGGTCGCCCACGCCCCCACCTGTAGCGAGGGTGACACTGCAGTTGAAAGGCCCGACTTGCGATCAAACTATCGCTTGATCCCGGGCGCTCCGTCAGTTCCCTCGGATCGTCAGAACAGAGAACCTTGGAACAAGAAACATACACGTCTGCCAGCTTCCTCCGCTAGGTTGGCTTGGATCTGGCACATATCTTTCACGCCGGGCATTGCGGAAGGCTCCATGCCTCCACGTGCATGAGGCGCATGATTTTGTATGCTTCGGAATGCTGCTTGGGGCACCGTGGCCACGGTGGCAGTCGGATGTGCGGCTAGGATGCTGCCGCCATGGCATCGGCTCCAGCCTCCTCTGCAGTGGAGCGAACGCGTGGGAGCCGGGAGGCGATAAGATGACTGGATCTAACACGGCAGGCACGGCGCCCGGCGAGTCCTCTTGCAGTCGAGGAGAGCCTGGTCGGGTACGCTTCTCGTCCTGCAGTGGGGCAGCGTAGGCTTTGGATCGGGATGATCTGGATCGACCTTGTCCCATTTCCTGGAAGAAGTAGTAGAGCACCCTGGGATCATCCGCTTTCCGCTCCAACATGAAGAGGGAAGGCTCCTGGGCAGCCCGACGACTCAGCCAAATGTCACACACGGGAGGCATGCCGAAGCACTTGGAACATCTAGTCGTGTGTGGACCGTCTCTTAGAGGCATGCCTTGTCGGGGGCGGCTTTTTGTATGATGTGGCTAACCGTGGATCACAAGGTCCGTCGAGATTCCCATGAACCTACCTGGCAAGACCGCCACAAGGGGCGCGGATTCAGCAGCTGATTCTGCAGCTGTTTCGAGGATTGGACTTCGAGGTGCGAGCATTGCAACTTCGCTCTCGACCACTGTCGCGGACTGTAGTACAGGTGGCACGAATCCTGGCCATACTTGAATTCCAGGTCTGCCACAAACACTTCCCAGCATCTCGGTCGTACATTGTAGTATGACTGGCATTTTGTGTCAGCATCGGTTCGGGAGGTCACGTTCGACTGTAGTTTTAGACCTGGTAGTAGTCTGGTGAGTTGAAACAGAAAGACGCAGAGGCGCAGCCATCAGGTGCTTACACATTAAATTGCAAGCGACGGTGTATACCGCATACCGTCTAAACTTTGCTAAAGACTTTCGGATGTGCTTGCATGCTTCAAATGGCTTCCAGGTGCGCCTGAGGGGTTGCACGGGCATGTCTCGCTGCGAGTAGGAATGCACTTTGATGTGTGCTTGGCCCGTGCTTGGCGAGTTTCGACTCTCACGGCTTGGGAATCCGGTTTGAGGAGTATTGAGAGTTGAGAGGATGAAGTGGGTTGTGCCAAGTTTACTGAACGAGGATGAGTCCACGAAAGAACGTGCGGGCCCAATGCCCCGCAAAACGGAAGTAGTGCACAGGCATGCACAGGCTCTCTGTTGTCGCGAAAGCCTAGTGAGCGCAGTCCCTGCGGTGTTGAATGTCAAGCGTGCACATGCGAGACATGACTGCGAAACCTCGCTTGCAAGCACCTACGGTCCTGACATTTACCGTGCAATGCAGAGGTTCTCTGCATTGTGCCACGAGGCGCGCGGCTTTCTTCGGCAATGTCTGCATGCACATGTCATGCTCACAATGTTCAACAGCTGCGGCTCTAAGACTCAATTCGCTATGGTTGCGATATCACATCGCACTCTCGCCGACTGCACCATCCATCTGCTACAATCCCGGTAAACGGCCAGCGGCGCAGGCCCGCACTCCCACAAGCGAGAACCGCTTGAAAGGCTTGAATCTCCGATCCTCCCCACAGTTTCCAGCCACGGGTCCGATCCTGTGTCGACGACCACAAGCTCTCGCGGCTCGTAGCTTTGTCGGCGGAAGTTCTCGTAGAGAAGCGGATGGAACGCATGCCTGAACGGAGGACATGCGTTCAAGGGATACCGTGCCTCTCTGACCGGGCCTGCCCTGGCTCGTTACAGCGATCACAGATATCAGCTCGTTGGTCACGAGATGGCCTGCATTCGCCGGAGACAGAAACTGTTGAACTTGTATGATGCGTGGCAGGGAGAGCGAAATCACAGCCAAGCTGCCAGGTGGCTCATGTTCAGCCAGTTCTGAACGATCGCCTAATGCAACATGCAGCCGCCTAACACACAGCCTCGGCACCACCAGAGATCGAGATGCTGAGATGACTGGTGACACCAAGCTAAAGCAAGCCAAGATGCCAAGATCGAATGCCCCTGCAGATGCCACCTGTAATGCACAAACGCATGCCATCACATAATGGCGGCCGCGGCCTTCTCTTTGCCAAGGGCACCCACAAAGCTGCAGCGGCCGGCTCCCAGTGCTGCACACGGGCTGGCAAAGAGCAGAGGCCTCCGCACGAGCTCGACACTGGAGAGATCTCGAGAGACTCGAGCGCGAGGAAACCACGGTGACACAAACGGTGACAAGGTGGTGCCCTTGGCTTCTCTCCTTCCTGTGCTCCGACCTGCGTCCCATGGTCCCGTCCTGCGGGTCCGCGTGCCCTCAATCGACGCAGCCATGTCACGGCGTCCTCGTGCCTCAAGCGCACACCCACACCCATGCCTTGACGAGTGACACAGCTGCGGGCAGATTCCTGAAAATCACCAGAGATGCGCCAAGGTGCCATCCTTTCAAGCTGCGGTGCTCACATGCCGGACGCCCGCAGTTTGCGCAGTTCTGCATCCGTGCAGACGGTGACAACAGCCATGGCAATGCCGGTGCAGTCGCGCAGCTGTCAAAATGCCCGCATAGAAAGCTTGGACATTAGATATAAGTTTTTGTCATATGGATTTGTCAATGGGAAAGCAACATGAGAGCCTCCTCGGCCGAGCCATGCACGGTGCCTCGCCGCTCGTGCAGCTCCAGCTGGACAGGCCTGACAGCTACAGGTCAGGAACAGACTCAAAGATCCTAAACCTTGACATGGGAAGCATCACACCACGCTTGCAAATGCAGAAACTCGCAGTCACGGGAGATACCCGTACATGCAAATAAGCCGACCTACGGCGCATGTTCACACATCGGCGCGGAGCACTACGGCGAATGGATAGTTACTGATGGCATGATGCGAATCGCACCAGTCGGCAAATAGAGAAAAAGAAACAAAGGATGCCAACGGAGAAAGAGAGAAATACAGCTGAACGCGAAGCAAGCATTGTGAGATGTCCGTTTTCAGAGCGCCATACAGAGGCTTTACTTGTCTGACTGCTTCTGGGGTTTCCATGTTGGCTGTGTCGCGCACGTGTTGCCTATTCTGACATGGGCTAAACTCCACAAAAACAAGAAAAGCAACGAAGCACGAATGCGAAGGTATGCCCCCCCGATGTCCCAAGCTCGGGCCTGGCTCCCGAGGCCACCGGCTTGTAGCTTTGACAGGAAGCCTTAGCCCAAAGGAAAACGGCTCGCAGTGTGCAAGGAAGGAAGGCACTGAAGCTGCGACCCAGCATCGAGCTTGCAAGAGCCTCTCGGAACTCCCAGGGCATCACAGTACAGGGCAGGAGCGTCGGCCAAAGGCATCGAATATTCGCGATTGGGCAAGCATCCGCACCACGGCACGCCGCTGGATCCGCTGGTTTTGAGAGTCTAAGTCTAAGTTCGCTACTACTACCAGTCCATGAAACAGGTGCACGAACACCGGGAGGAGAGGGAGGTGTCTGGTACTTCCTGAATGTCGTGAACTGGCTGCAGATGGCTGATTGTATGGTGTCAATGATGCCACGACCACTCAAGCCAAGAAACGAAGACGTGTCAGCTAAGTGCAGCTATCATCAGGTCACAAGGTACACTGAAACCTTGGCTTGTTGACATCGCTCATCTACTTCTGCGTGATCTTAAATGATTTCTACCTCGGCTGATGCAACGTAAAAACACCATGGCCAAGCCTCTTGTTCACGACATTGTTTCCGAAAAGCAAACATGTGACCACCGAGCAAAGCGCAGTGTGACAGGGTGGGATCGCACCCCGAGGTAGCAAAGGTTTCCCCCGCGAGAGAAGCGGATAGTCTGGCCATCAGTGAAGCCCTCAGACACCTGCATGAGCGGCGGCACAGATGACTTCGAACAACGGGGCATCGTGTTCTTCGACCCGTTGTGGGCGTCCTGCTAGGACTAGGCCTGAGAAGTTGGGAAGTAGTCGTCCACCACCAAATCAATCCACCTCCAAACATCCAGCATGAACTGGCTCTTGAAATGTGAGACTAAGAATGCATGGCAACGTCACTCCCAAAAACCCGCCAAAATGACCACGTGACTGAGTGCCACGACTCACCAGCATGGCAGAGGCGAAGCTGGTAGACACCATGCGGGTTCACGTCCTGTCCGAGATCCGCACATAAGCCAGCTCGAAGCAAGATTCAGCAAGATGGGTGAAGCTCAATCGCTGGAGGTCAGGTAGGAGCTACCCTCCCAGCAAAGCACTGCATCGGATGCCCTGATGCACACCATGCACACCCGATCTTTTCGCGCTCGCCAGCTTCCTTTGCCTGCCGTGTCCTGCGTGCAAAAGAGCGAACTGCGACCAGAGTGCAAGCAGTGAGCCAGGAGCAAGCTTCACGGTGCGTAAGCATGTTCTGTCAACCACTGCTGCGGACATTGACATGTGGGTAGTTGTCAAAATTAAGGTCCCTTTTTGGGGCACCCTAAATGATAGGTGCCGTATCATACTAGGGACCCAAAAAGGGACCATAACTTTGACAACCACCCATGTGTTGGAGGCCCACTGAAGCGGGCCGCCTGCGCGTCACTGCTGCCGACAGTTTTCGCGGCAACTCTCCACATCAGGAACCGCTGCCTAGCAGGACGCCGCAGGCCGTGCATGGTTTCTCATGCGAGTGCCCCAACCACATTTAACTCATTTCACACTTTACGATGTTTCCTCTCTGCACTTCACAAGTTAGGCTGTCAGCTGCACGCACTAGGGTTGTGCCTTGGTGGGCGCTTGACACTTGTGGCTGGCTCGTCCCTGACTTGTCATGACTCGCTACCCCCAACACAACCCTCCCTGATTTTAGCTTCTCCTGTCCTGGCTGTGATGATTCAACTTTCGAAAGCATGCCAGAAGAACTGCACGACTTATAGTGGCACTGCCAATCCAAACTAACCTATGACTTGCGATGCCTCCGTACAGGAGTCCAACCGCCGCTTCGCATAGTCCAACAGGTTCGACCTTGATCCGAATCGACCGAACCACAACAGCCACAACCCGGCACCACCTGAGACAGACACCGACAAGCTGATTGAGATCCACATTGACAAACCCACCACAAACATGTCATCCCAAAACACCTGTACATGTGTCTGTGCATGTAATTAGCGATTAACTGTTTCATGGTTGATCTGGACTACGGCAGCTAACAAGCATACTAAACAAAAACGTTCCAACAGCACGAACCAAAAAAAACACGAACACAACACACACCCATGAAACTGTTGCGCGGTCTGTGGGGGTAGGGTGAAGGGTAGCGGGTCCAGGGGGGCATACGCGAAAGCCCTAGAATCCTTTGTTAGCCGGAAGCTTCTACTTTACCGACAACTCCCGCAAGAACCTGAACAGCTTAATTACCTACGTACATACCCACCTACATACCTATCTACATACCTACCTGACTACCTACATACATACATACCTACCTACATACCTATCTACATACCTACCTGACTACCTACATACATACCTACCTACATACCTATCTACATACCTACCTGACTACCTACATACATACATACCTACCTACATACCTATCTACATACCTACCTGACTACCTACATATGTACTTCCCTACCTACATACCTATCTACATACCTACCTGACTACCTACATACGTACATACACATACGTACACATAACTACACAAATGCACAGATACGCACACGTTCTCTATGTTTCTACATGTTATGCAAACGCAATAGCCAGAGAGAGGGCAATCACTCTTTTTGTCGGCGGGGGTTGCAATGTCAGTGCAAAGCAGAGCAAGCTGTGGAGAGTCTAGCAATGCGTGCGACGCGTAGATTCCCAACTTTAGTGGACACATGACAAACCATGGAAAACAGCCCCGGCCTAAACACCTGAATGCACAGCGAACACACAGCTTTCTTTTAGCACTTGCGCTCGAGAAGCTCAAGCGAGATTTGGGACAAAGTTTCGACGATCCCCTCATCTCGTGGAGAGTGCAAACTGGCTCACTGGCTTCTCGGTTGCCTTCCGCAGGAGATTCCGAAAAACTGACAACAGCGAGAAAGAAACTCACCCCAGTCAGTCTACCAATTCAGTTCCAGCTCATTTCTCAAAGCCCAGCTAAAAACTTTCAGTTCCCCATGCTCAGCTCGAACTTTCCCTTTTCCGCTGTAACAGGATTGCCTGAAGCCTGCCTCTTTTGGATTTCGCTTGATGGCAAGCCTGCGTGAAATTGGTAACAGCAGACAAAATCTGGGGCCTTGAGTCTGAGTGGGATGCCTCCGACGAGAACCAGCAGCACCCAAAAGGCTGCCAGCACCGACACTAGACGGACTTATGAAGCATACAAAAAGTGAAAACCTCCTCCCGACATGCAAATCGGTCACACTCTCCTCCGTTTTGTCAACACAGCATACAGTCCTCTCGAAGTACGGACAACCATTACGCTACGGGGCGCTTGCACATCCAAAGTCTGTAATTCAAGCACACGCATGTCTGAGCCTGCAAGGTGAGGGCAGCAAAGGGTAAGCTACAGTAAGTTACAGCCCAAGGGCGGGCCTGAACATCTTCACCTGGGTTCCTCTGTAAGTCTAGATTAAGCCATCAAGCATAGGCCTAAACACCAAGGACCTCAACAACAGAAGGTGCCCTGTTGCGACAGCAAGAACGCAGCTTGAACGGAGAAGGTTTTCCCTTCCTACACCAAGGTGACCATGCGATCTTGGATTGCTGTACCCTGTCCTGCCTAGGCAGTGCTCGCGGTCCCACAGGAACTGTGAGAAGCTGAGCAACTTGCAGGAGCCTGGAAAAAATGCTGCAGCACCTGAACATTGGGAAGTAGCTCATGGCCTGGCGGGGCATCCCACCGCACATCGGCAGCATATGCTGGGCCGGCGGTCCCTGTTCGCGTCCATTGTCCAGTGAGGCTGCGAGGGTGGTGGGAGCGGTGCAGACTCCGGCAGCAAGTGGGGGCCCGGAAGTGTGGGTGGTGGGGCCTTTTGCCTCGTTGCCGCCATCTTGTTCATCACAGTCCCTCGAAATTCTCTCCACAAACACGAAGTGACATGGGTTTGAAATTTTTTGAATTGACAAAGGATTTACAGGATCTCGGAGTCCCAGCTCTGTGCTGCGGACTCCATGCCTTTGGGCTCATCAACTTATTGTTGGCATCATGATGCGGTTGCTCAGGTCCTGCAAGCCGATACTCAGCTTCGTGCGCAACTCCTGAAAAGACCTGTTGCTGTTCCATGCAGCACTCTCGGCCCCTTGGAGACTCCCTCACCCTCGATCATCTCCTCCGCGCTCTTTAAGGACCATGTCTCGGATGGTTCGCATCGGGTGGCCCTGAGCATTTTCATACACACAAGCATACATCCAGCATGCATATGCGTATGTGTACTGGCTGGCACATGCAATTGCGTGGTTTACATGTGCATACATACGAACACACAGACACGGAGAATGGCAAAGGTTGCGTAAGTCGGCTTCCGCCACTGATGACTCGAAGGATGCTCTACGATGACGATGTAGCTCCTCGAGGACCTTCTTCCTAACAGGCAAAACTGAGCTCTTTCCAGGTTTGTGGCTTTGCCTGGTTGCCATTCCAACCTGCAGGTACGTGGTTCCGGCGTCCGGAACCATGTCAGCACACTCTGAAGAGCCTCTTTGTTAGATGCCCACTCTTCAGGTGTGGGGCATCGCCCTGCTGCAATCACTTTAAATTTCCAAGGACCCTTAGTTTAGAATCAGGGTGTACACACACACACACCCCTCTTCCGAGGGGTCAACTGAATTGGCACCTAATTAAAGCACGGCAAGGGTTCTTTCACTCAAAACCTGTCACACGATCAAGGAACATGTGTCCTGGTCCTGACGAAGGTTAAAGCCATGCGCTGTATCAGGAATCCTGCGGCAGACCTGAACGTCCATCCTCAGCCAACGGATACAAACATCGGGCGGCACCCGTATGGTGGCACGTCAGTTGGGTTGAAGTAGAATGGAAAACCTGCATCTTCCGCGCTGCGTTTCATCTGAAGCCTGTCGGGTGAAGGCTACCTGTCTACAGCTGAACCCCTGATCAGGCAAAGTAACTTTTCAAGCGTTGGAAGACATGACATGAAGCAAACAACAGCACAAGCACTCGAAGAAGCTATGCAGTTGCTGATTTCAAACCTGCAGGGACAAGGACAACGCAGTATCCACAGTGGCGTGTCGCTCGGAAAGGATGCCTGATAAGAAATGTCCATACCTGCGAAGTCGAGATGTTCCGAAACATCCAGACTCCCTGCTGCGAGAGGAGTCTTTACTCAAATGCGCTATGAGACCCACGCAGAAAATTCCAAGGACCTCAAGCTTAGAATCAACGTGTGCGCACACACACACACATCCCTCATACGAGGGGAAGCAATCCTGAACAGGATACGTTAACAATGCAACGCAAACAACTGAACTCGACTCTTGAACCTACCGCACCTCACACACCTCAGACCTCCCCCGTACCTCAGACCCGTACCTCAGACCTAAGACCTACCGCACCTGCCTCAGACCTCAGACCTACCGCACCTCACACCTAAGACCTACCACGCCTGCCTCAGACCTTAGACCTACCGCGCCTGCCTCAGACCTTAGACCTACCGCACCTCAAACCTCAGACCTACCGCACCTCAGACCTAAAAACCTACCGCACCTGCCTCAGACCTCAGACCTACCGCACCTCAGACCTAAGACCTACCGTGCCGACCTCAAGCCTCAGACCAACCGCACCTCAAACCCAAAACCTACCGCACCTGCCTCAAACCTCAGACCTACCGCACCTCAGACCTAAGACCTACCCCGCCCGCCTCAGACCTCAGACCTACCGCACCTCAGACCTAAAACCGACCGCGCCTGCCTCAGACCTCAGACCTACCGCGCCTCAGACCTAAAACCTACCGCGCTTGCCTCACACCTAAAACCTACCCCTAAAAATCACTGCAGCTATGTTGCGAGAGGGGGAATCCGTACTCCCGTGCACTATCAGACTCTCGGTCGCTGGAGGCTGCGTAGGGCCACAAATAACAGGGCATGACCCTTAAGCCTGGACCACAAGTCCGATACTGGTCCGGTTTGCTATGGTAAGCTCAACGGCCAACACCGAGAGAG